TTTCAAAATTTGTCGATTTGTTTCGCTTTCGTCCAGCTCTCTGTTGTACTGGACTCTCCGAAGTGTTTACGCTGCGTATAAGATTGCCAATATCATTTTCTTGCTTCTGTCCATTACTTTTAAAACCCAGCTCCGAAAATTTGACAGACAGTAGTTTTTCTTCTTCATCGGTTCCCGGTGCAGACTCGTGCATGTTAGTTTCATCCTTAACTAAATATTCACCAGCTCGATTTTTAGAACTGTTGCCTTGAACAATCTCGGTGAACAAACTAGCATCAGCTTCAAGCAAAATAAATCTTTTCTCCAAATGGAGGCTACTAGCTTCAGAAGATGCTTTCCCCAGTTCATCTTCTACTTCAGTACCATCAATCTGTACAAGCTCCTTTGACACAGTAAAATGCTCATCATTGCTTTCAAGCACAACCATCAGTTTCTCATTGCCGAACTCATTAGAGGTATCTCGTTGATCTTTTGTTATTAGTTTAGCTGAAGAGTTAGACTCATCCGAACTAACAATGGATTTGCCATCAAATTTTTCTGTGAGCACTTCCGTTTCCAACTCTTTTATGTCGTCTAGCTCTCCTGACATGACATTTTCAAGATGTTCTTCTTCTCTTGGTTGAGCTACAACAGCATCAAAATCAGCCGAATTCTGAACGGCTTGCACTTTGTCTTTTATTGTAAATATCTCCAGCTCCAGCTTCCATATGTCCTCACATAGGCCATCTGTCCCAATATTGGCCGTGTTTGTATCTTTTTCTCTGTCTGAACAAGGAACTGTAGGACTCCCGTATCCATCATCATCATATTCATTGGATATAACTTCGGTTCGCTGTCCTACAAATGATTCGGCCACTGTATGTTTTATGTCAGTTAACCTTAAGATATCATCATCCCCAGAACTTTCTGATTCGCCATCCAATAAGGCTTTTGAGCCCTCTGAGATATTTATCAATTCCTCCACATCAGACGGGCATTCATCATTGCAATTTCCTTTTTTAGAGTCGCTGAAAGAAGCAACCGCTGATTCCACTCCAGACTCAGAATTTGCAGCTTCAACTTCCAGAAGTTTCTTAATTGCCAACTTGGCAGCATTCAGAGCCCAGTCTCTTTCAGGCACGACACTGCAAAAGCTGGGGAAAATGAATTTCGATGCAATAAAGCACTAAAATCTGGCAAGTTATATGCCACCAATTACTCGCTGAAAGTTATTGTATCCAGAGAATTGGCAATCATTAATGACATTTCCCTTCTAAGTAGTAAGCTACATAACGCAGAGCCTAAACAGCTTTCTGCACACTGCTTAAAACCATGAAGGCCCAATTACTCAAAGACAGTACTCTTTATGATTTAGGTATGAGATTGTTTAAATCCATTCAATGTGCGTTTTGAATCAATCAGGTTGACATTAGCATGTAGAACTGAGGATGGAGATGAGTAGCTGCGCAGATAGATCTGTAAAGCGACAAAGGGCTTCATCGAGTTTTCTCTCAAAAGAAAGAAGAAAAGAAAAGAGATTGATGATTTTATGAGGGATAAATATCATAAAACCCCCCTTAACTTTTGTAGATTATTAGAAAACACCCCCTTAACTTTCAAAATAACAAAAAAAACCCTTTAAGCTTAAGGGTTATCAAAAAACCCAATTTAACTTTGAGATTTTATTAGAAAACCTCCTAANCTGATAATTGTCTAAAGTTAAGGGGTTTTTCTGATATTTACCTGATTTTATGGCAAGGAATATGCTAACTAAGGGTATTTATATGCTTTTGTGTACCTAACTAACATTTCTAGCTGTAAGCAACGCAATTGCCCATGTTGCAGACAAAATAACTATAGCATGTTTTCAACCGCATTGCAAGTATACTGGTAGGTCGATATATTTGAAGCAGGCGAAAGGTTTGCGGTTACAAATCACGTATGCATCAGGCTACAGCCTAGTTTTTATATTCTATTTGCAGAAGACAAGAGGTTTTGAGGATCAAATCTCATTAACGCCAGCCCACATCCAATACATCAGATGTTTCAACCAAGTTTTAATTGCAACCCACTTACCTAGGAAGTTCAATTGGTTACAGAAAACGTTTACAACCTAAGAAGCACAGACACAACATGAAATAAACAAGAAGTTCTCAAACAAAAATGTAAGAAATAGCCAAGTAAACAGAAGAAGTATATTGTCCAATATCTAGTTCCATCATGGTTTGATTCGACAGTAAGATTATCCTCATTTCATAGTTTACAAAGCCAAAAGAAGGTACATGAAAGATTAAGGAAACCAAGTAGCTTTGGCATCGAGATGATTTTTATGTGAACTCACTGATATTTTCCCTTAAATATACTTGTTTAAGTAGATTAGAAAAGGAACATAGAGAAGGATGCAAAAGTCTGTTTTTCTTCTTGGGAACAAAGGATACAAATAGGTCGCTTTTTATGGAGCCTTGGGGGCAAAAACAAATCGAGGGTAAGTCCATAATTGAAATCCTTTTTCTACCACCTCTTTTCTCACTTACAACTTGGGTGTAACATATTGCCACACTCCAAGTGTTAAATTTGATGAATTCAATTTCAAAGTATTACCTCTTCAAACTGGAACAAGTTTTAGTGAATTCTGCTTCCATTTCTTCTATCAAATCCATTGCTGCAACTACCAAATCATCTGAACAGTATCCTCCAAGTATCGCAATCTCCATCAGGAAATGCATATCTAGATAAACCTGTATCATCAAGAATATAAGCAGTTAAATAGACATATATTAACAAAAATAACAGCTAGCAGATAAAAGGCGTGATAAATGATAAGGAAATTGAAAAAATATAATTAACAACTCATGGATGGTGTATCATATAGAAGTACAGGAGTATAACTCGTAAATAGAAACCACAACTCTATTATTTCCAAGAACAACCATTTCAGTTGCATTAAACATAGGAAAAATCAATGGAATGTGATAATATTATCATCAGCGTCCTCACTGACAAAACATTAGAGTGAAAATCTTAAGTTTATTTCAGGAATAAGCTTTGTCAGTAATCCATGTCAAAGATATAATACTATAAGAAAATGAGTGGATTATATACCTGCTCAAGGCACCCACAGTGCCGTATAGATGAACATTTCACAGTTTTTCTCCAGAGCTCCCGGTTCTTAGAGAGCCACGCAATCAAAACATCCAGTATCTCTTTTTGTAGCTTCTTGATCATCCCATTCTCACCAATAAAGATGGATTTCGAAAGTTGCTCCAATTGCCTCAACCGCACAAACAGCAACTGATAAACATGTCAGACAAGTAATAAACAAATAAAGAAACATCTTAATTACAAAAAAACAAAATGAAAGTCGCCAAAACTATGGAAGTTTTTCAATGGTGTCAAAACAAAATCAGGATTTTCTTGGTATTCAGTTAGGAGAAGGTAACTACGGGAGTCTGAAAGAATTGTGTATATGGATCATTGCTTTCCTATCATCGGAACGCTGTTCCCACTTGTTGAACTAGTGACATCCAGGTCATGATTGAGTAACATTACTGTTGCACTACTAAGGCTCAACTAAGACTCACCCTTTGTTTCGTTTCAGAGAAAGGGGGCTGCAGCTTAAAAAGAATCACAAGCTAGTATCCAACAGACAACATTAGAAGACAATTCATACAACGTACAAGTGAACCAAGCAGAAATAGTACACGCCAGTAAACAAAAAAAATTGCAAGAATATGTAAAAAATTCATATAGCACTAGTAGAAAATCGTTTATCCTAGACGGAATATTCTAGACGGAAAATTTTCCGTCTAGTTTGTATTAAACTAGACGGAAAATTTCCGTCTAGAATATTCCGTCTAGGATAAAACATCCTAGACGGAAATTTCCGTCTAGAATGTTATTCTAGACGGTTAATTTATTTTTAATTTTTTTTTTATATGAACAGGTATTCTAGACGGAAATTTCCGTCTAGGATGTATCCTAGACGGAAATTTCCGTCTAGGATGTTTTGGCTCACATAAAAAAAATAAAAACCAAAATTTCCCCCGCAAATCGAAAATCCTCCGCTCCCCCAACCCAAAATAAATACCGATCTTCGTTCTCTCTCTCCTCCCTTCACCCAAAAATCCCCTTATCCTCAGCCCCTTCATCCCCTTCCTCCTCATCACCTTCACCATCCGCCACCAGCTCCTCCACCGCTCCTCTTCCACGACCAGCACCACCATCGCCTCGCTCACCCTCCAACACCTGACCAGCCGCCTCTCCTCTTCTCACCGCCGCTCCTCCCACCCCGGTCAACCCCTCCGACCAGCAGCAACGCCGCTCCACCTGCCACCTTTCATAACCGCAGTCACCATCCGCCTCCCCGACATCCCTCCGCCGCCCAATCAGCCCTCCGACGACCCCCGGCTTCCCCCGAGTCCAGAGCCAACATCTCGGAGGCTTTCATCTTGTGCACATCAGCAGATTTGTTGATTCTAGCTAACTGGTGAGTGCTCTCTCAGCCTCATTTCGATTTGGGTTTTTCTCATTCTCATTAGATTTCTGATTTTTTATGTTCATAATGTTGTTGAGCAATCTCAATTCACTCCTTGAAGCATAAAAATCCTGTCTTTTGGGCATGTCTAGCGATTTTGATTACGCCAACTAGAAATGGAACTCCCCTTGAATTGGGTGCTTTCATTATTCAGAGTAATTTAGGTTTTTCTTAGCATTTCGAATTCACTTTATAGAGATTTTTAATTGAGGGTCTTTAGGGATTCAGTTGTTTGAAATGAAAAATTCAATCTTTTAGCTCTACGTTTTCTGTAATCTGCATTGGAATTGCAGTTATTTATATTATACTTCCGGGGTCTAGCTAAGAAACTGAGTTCTTCTTTGCAAAATATTGATTCTACACTCATTATAACTTTTGAATCTTACAGTATTTCAACTGATTTTTAGTGTCATTCTCATGGAGATTCACCTCAAGAATCTCTTTACAAGATTCCAAGACCAGTTTGGATCTGGACCAGGGCTCAGCCCAAGCTCAGGGACTTGCCTTCTCAACGTCGAAGGCATTTCCCCGGACCCCTTCCGCCTCCACCACCTCTCCCGCCTCCTCTCTTCCTCACCGGACCCCTTCCCGAACTCCCACAACCTCTCCTCCGCGTGCCACCTCATCTCCTCCTCCGCCGCCACAGTCGGCCGTGATCGTACCCTTCTTCCTCCCTCTCCCCTCTCTATCTACTTCCTTCTAAAATAACTGAGAGGATCCCTCTGCCTCGGCCTCGGCAGCGTCGTCGCCGGCAATTAGGAGCTTGGCGACGAGCGTGAGGATGGAGGGGTTGAGCTCCAGGTCCAAGGGCGGCGGCGGCGTCGAGCCGGCGTTTGTAGGGCAGGTGTTCAGCATGCTGGATCCTTCGAGAGTTCAGAGCTTGAGTTTGAGGTAATCTTTGCTTTTATTTACTTTCTTTAACTGGGTACTTTGATTTGTCAGAGGAAATGAATCATAATGGGAGAAAATTGTTTATAGTCATGGGGCTAGCTGATGCTGCACATTTGTTTTGCTCGAATATCTGAAAATTTCATGATTCAAATATCTACTTCTTGAATTTGGTTTAGAAAATAGAAGGATATCATAAGGTCTGTTATTACCTTTGATTTGTTACTAACAAAACCTTATGCTCCTGTGAGCACTGTTTATGGGTGCTTCGGATCAATTACTAATACCTAGAAGTTATGACTTGGTGTTATAATAGTTGTTGTGACTGAAAATTTTATTTTTTTCGAGTAATAGCTATAAATCATGAATTTTTATGAAACTAGCCCCATGACTAATAGTCTACTTGTTACTACTCATTGATCCAAGTGTGGTGTAAGCACTTGTTCTTTTGTTTTTATTGTCATATCTAGTTGTTGGAGAACTTTTTTTTCCCCATTAGCTGAAATTGCCTGAGTAGTGAGCACAAACTCTCTTTACATGTTTTTGAAATTCAAAGTGATATAGGTCTCTCAAAAGGAGGGGTGAAAGATATTCACCTTTACCCTATATGGAATATAGATGTTTCTATTAAAGTTCACATAGGTTCGAGCTTATTTCTTGTACCCTCAAATTATTTTTGGTTTTATAGTGGATCTATCATTTTGATATTTTGTCAAATCACTTATCCTACGCACAGAAGCCTTCTTGAGGTTGTCCAAAGTCTTTGCCAGCATATACATGGCGCACCCTGATTTTGTTGTGATAAATGCCTTAATGTGTCACAATTATGGTTTTACTGTCAAGATTAGCCTCTTGGATATTGTCATGATAACTTGCAATGACTTAGCATTACGCCATTACCTATTGGCATTTGCGTGCTCTGTTACTGTTGGATGTTGTCGTCACAATGTTTGTGATTATGTTGTACCAACAATATTTTGACGGTGAAGAAAATAACCTCAAGATGAAACTTCCTATTGTATATTTTCTCATGTGGGCAAGTTACTCCATTGATCCTAGCTAGCACCAAAGCTATTTTTCCTCCCTTCCCAAAAATTAATGGTCTCCAGTACTTTTATGATATGATATATGTGCGGAAGTGGTTCATGCACTGCAGCACTAGCGATCTTCAAATACTTGATGGATTGAAGTTCAAACAATTTCAAAATAGCCTAGCTATGTAAGACAACTGTTTCTTATATGAGTTTACTTTGTGTAGGTTATTCCGACTACTCCAATGGATAACTATGGCTTTGTGGGTGCATTGGTTTCTCGTACCATAAATTTTATCTTTGCATTTTAACAGACATTATAAGTTTCATAATGGATTTCCACTATTTTATTGATTGATTTTTTGTTTTTGTCCAGATATGTCTGACATCAAGGAGAAACAACTAGTGCTTTATGCTCAAATGGCTAACCTTGTTAAGTTGGTGCTTCCTCACATGGAGATTAACCTCAAGGAGATAACGGCTAACTTCTCAAAGGCAAGGCTTAACTGATTTCTGTTATATAGAAACTGCTGCAACCACGAATACACGGCAGAATGATCTCAAAAAGCAATATTTCTTTACTTGCAACCGTCCTCGCTGTACTAAGGTTTCTTTTTTTTCTTTTTGCTAAACTAATTGCATTTAGTATAATATATTTTTCGTTTTATCCTTTTCTCTTGGCCAAGATATTTTTATGCAATCTTGCCTTTACCGACTATTTTTCTGCAAAACTGTCCCACAGTCTCTGTGAGGAACTTAAGGAAGATGCTCTTCTTGAAGGCTATAGATGTAAAGATGGCAAATGTGGTGGCTTCTTGCTTCAGGACTGTGGTACCTCATCAACAATGCTTAGTTGACTACTATCTCTGAAGCGATTCTTTTGCTTTGTTCGCTTATCTCCAGCAAATGTTTTCTCTTGGTTTGATATCGCATTATAAATCATGAATTTTTATTAAATAATTTATGTAAAAGTTTGTAAACAATTTATGTATCTCTCTACTATTTTGGTGAATGTATTATTTGAATATAATGAGATTTGATTTTGGAATATAATTAGATTGTGTTGGATATGAATATAAGTTTTTGTTGTTCAATATTGTGTACATACACTCAAAGTAGAATCTGCAAAAAAAAAAAAAAAAATTTACTGTAGCAGAGTATCCTAGACGGAAATTCCGTCTAGGATGCTTAAATTCCGTCTAGAATGCTTTTTAAAAATAAAAAAAATGTATCCTAGACGGAAAATTCCGTCTAGGATACCGACGGAAATAAACTAGACGCGTATTCTAGACGGAATTCCGTCTAGAATACGCATCCTAGACGGAATTCTTGGTATCCTAGACGGAATTTTCCGTCTAGGATACCTCATTTTTTAGCAGTGTAGATACCACAAGGCTGACTAATCCCATAGAAAAGTTGCAGATTTATCAAAACATATCCTGAGACCAATCATCCTGCATTCCAATGCTAATAGATTTACTGGTTTTTTAATCACTAGCTAGTAAGTATGGCTGGTACATGGAGAAGCGACAAGATCTCTTGAGTAACATAATGCAACGTAATGCTTTCAAAAGATATGTAACTCTACTAAAATTCTGCTTCTCCTTACTAAAGAGGGAATATTGCAACCTCATCAAATTTAAGAAATAAGGAGCAAAAGTTTTCTTGAAGAGGTGACAAACCAGAAAGACAAAAGAAGGCACCGGATCTTGTGATGCGATATGTATGAACCATTCTTCCAAATATGGTTCGGATTCATAATCTTCATGAGACATAACCCAGAGCACAAATTGCCGAGAGAAATAGCATCGCAGTTGATTTGCAGCTTCCCCAATTGACAATATACAGTCATCAAGTTCGTTCTGTGAAAAAAACTCGGTTTGTTCAAAAGATAAATCATCCTTCGAAAATTTGTTGTCCTTAATGATACCACCAGCAATACTTGGGAAGAAATGCGCCAGCGTGGAGGCATTGGCTAAAAGTGAGAGTTGTTGTTGAAGGGATTGAGCAGAGTTAACTTTTGGAGAGCCATTTTCTGTTGCATTTTCTCTAGGTGGAATAGCTCTTTCAAGGGCACAAATGTACTCACTGAACAAGCCAGCAAGGCCCTTGAGTATTGAACCTCGCAGTTTGAGAACAACCAAGGGCGAAACATCATCTACAATTGCCTGAACAAAAATAAGAGGAAAGAAATAACAATTTGTTCTCATATTACATCAGGAATAATCTAAACTTCCGAAGCTAACTAATGGCATTTAAATAAAATATATATATCAGAAATTCCGGATTGACCTATACATTAGTTGGTTTTAACGAACTAATAACTGTAATGACTTCTTGGACAGGAAAATGCACAAGAAAATAGAACAGAGAATCAAGTTCAGTTATGCACAACCATGAAGCAAGTAAACTTAGGAAACTACAGTGACTATAGGAAACTACAGTGACTAATTGACTTGCAAGGGACTGCAATTACATGACTTGGCACTACTAGATATTGCTATTATTTTGGGTATCATGGATCAAGGAATCTTAATTTCTGTAGAATTTGAATACACTGCATTCCAAATGATAAAAATAAAAGAAACTACTAGAATAAACTGATTTCATTCTCAAAACAGTTGAACAATTCTAGGACACTTATGTCATGAAATGTGCAGGCCTAAATTTCTAGTAACCTCCTTATAGATCTTAGTTCAAAGCTCAATACAGTTTGCACATTACCTTATAAGTTCTTTATGAAATTCTCAACAAAATTCTTTGTGAAATTTAAAAGAACATATGTTAGTTATAATTTTCTAATGTTTATTCACCTATTATTGCATTAACTTTCCATTTACGGTACTGAATTTCCAAGCCAAATTGAAGCTATACATTCTTTCAGCTCTTTGGTTAGTTTTGTAGCTTTGTATTTACATATTAGATCCTAAAATACATCTTAATTTTACATAAAGCCCCTCAAATATTCATCTTTTAATTTACACCCCCAAATCATTTTACCTGCTTCAAATTGCATGCCAAGTGATATTTCATCCAAATTTTAAGTAGTGCGATTGAATCTTAACAGCTGCTGGTAGTTTACTTTAATATCCTTTAGTAGGGTACACCACACTCGTTTAATGTTAAGCAATTAGAAAGATACTTCGCATACCTGCATTAGGGTGACAAACTTTCGGCCACTGCTAGTAAGTAGGCAATATTCCACTTTGTCACCAATCCCTGTAAGAGAGGACATGTCCCTCAATATTCCTAAGCTGAGAAATTTACCCAGAGTCCAATTATCTGAGGTTGTAAAAACATGGAAAACTCTTTTAAAATGCTCCAAATGCATCTGCAATACTTCTTCCATGCAAGGCCTGATAAATTCCATTAACTTTGACACCAAGTCTATTCTCTGAGATCTTAAAAGAGAGCAAAGATTAAGGGCACTATTTGCAGCCTCAATTGCCAAAGATATGCCCTCGTTGGTTTCTGAAACAGATCTGACGTATTTGTAAAATTCATGACTAAATGTTTCGGTTTCTTCTCTGGTCCACAGAATAAGCTCTGAACTATAAGGAGTTGTTTCACCATACAACACAACAAAACAACTTGCTGCTTCAGATATGGTAGAGAATACAGCCTTTGCAAGCTCCCTTATGTGAGTTCCATATAAGCACGGTTTCAAGCACTGCAATTCAAACACCTTCTTTTGAAGGCGTGAACGATAAAATTTTAGGAGTAAAGACTTTGCCCGATGATTCTCGCCTAACCTACAGAGTTCAGAGAGTGCCTTTTGGAGTTCTGGTTGAGACACTCTTGGGTGTTCAGCAATAAAAGAAAGCTGGTCAGAGAGCCTCTTTCTCCTTTCTGATAATGCATATTTATAGGACATGATAATTGAAGATGAACAATCTTCTTCAATTTGGAACTTTCGTAAGGTGATAGTTTCCTTCTCCAACAGAGCAAGAGCTTCCTTTAATCGGCACTCCGATAGAAGAATGTCCATTGTTACCAAAACATCTTGCATGTGAATCTCAAATCTAGAAGGCGAAATAAAGCCGAAATCGTCAACCTTTGTTTCTTCTAACCCATCGGTGATGATATCTGCATAAAGATTGCTCGTGAGAGCTTGAACAAGCTTCATCTCCGCTGAGACATGTTTTTTCATTTCGATGATTTCGTTTTCTACACCTCCAACTTCTTCCAATATTCTGCAGATGGTGAAGATAAAGCAGTCGGTATTATGTACAAACAAAAGAACAAATTGAAACTTATGCTTTGTGATGGACAATTTCCATCATAACATGCAGAACTCAAGAAATACAGATCTCTTGATGTGGGTTTCTACGTATAATGTGATAGATCACATCTTACGATAGAGTAAATTCTGCTAGAAGTTGGGGGGGAAATAGAATTCATCTGCATGGTTAGTGTACCCAGGAGCTGAGAGGGGTAGCCAACAATACCAGGGCGCTTTAACTAATCCACTTTGTATAATAAGCACTAAGCAGTCAAGCGCTCTTGAAGCATAACAACTTGTTACTTTCATGGCTAGTAAGTGTCTTTTGACTCAAAAATAGACATCCCTACAGGAGGAGTTATAGTGGACATACATAAATCAGAGCATTTTGGAATTTTTCTAGAAGAAAAAGGTGAGACAAATAAGCGACCTAAGCCCCAAAAACCAATCCCCTAACCTAACTACTGTTGCATTAGAGTAAAACTTCAAAACGCATCTCTGGCCTTGAAACATTAAATCATCTTTCCCAATAATTCAATAACTATAACTGATTCTATAGTGATCTAGTGGTTGGCAGAATCTCTTATTCTAAAACCAGTTTCAAGAGGTTTCGGCTGTCCAACTTTATCTAACTTAGCTATCTATGTTTTTTCCTAATCTCTCTCTCAAAATAGGTGCATCTCTTGAGCTCTCTTATAACAAATGCACCATGTCTCATGCCGCCTTGTTCAAGATACAAACCCTGGACGCTTGCGCCTCTTTATTCCTCTGACAATTTCCCTCCAACAATACATATCACTTTGATTGTTAGCTATGAATCAACAACCAATTCAGATTCTATACTTTACACTAATATTTTACTCAAATGCCATGTATTATCATCTACTTGATGGAAAATCAATACATAAGTAAACATTTAACCTGACAAATGCAGAGTAACTCGAATACACACTCCTCTGGAACTTGTCATCCGAAGCTTTCTTCAATTCGAGAAGCTCCGAACACAGACGCTTTATCCCCTACAATTGCAACCAAAACAACCAAACTTACAACTTTTTGCCACAAAATATGAGGACAAACACAACAAATTAATTTTTTTTTTAAAACCGTACTTTTCCGGTCATAGATTCGAGATCAGCCTCGACCTCGCCGGAGTCAGATGAACTCTTCGGATCGGCCGCGTATCGGATCCTCGTTTGGGTCCCGAACCCGGAAGCGAGATCGCCGGAGAGACGAAGACATTGGGGCGATTTCGGCCGAAGAAACGGGGGAATTGGGGTTTTAAAGGGAGGGAGGGGATTTTGAGGTGGCGGTCGTAGTTTTGCGCCATGATGACGAGAGATTGATCGCCTCGATTTCTCCGGTGACGAATGGAGAAAAGAAACAAAAAGCCCTAGATTGCCGACTCGGCGGAATCGCGCGGGAGTCTCAAGCTAACTTACAGCAGACTGGCACGTGTGCGCTGCACTTGACATTTATAAAGCTTGGTATTTATTTTATTTTATTTTTTTCAATCACTTTCTACTTTTCACAATTTGGACAGCATTTGGTGACGTAAATCTCTCGCTCGTACTAATATAAAATTTTGTTAAGGGTTTTACACCAAAACAGTCTTAATTGTTATCCAAATAGATATTTAGCATATTTATTTTTTTCGATCAAATCTATCTTAACTTGCTGACATAACACTTTTTGGTATTTTCTGTTTAAGAAAGATATGAACTTCTTGATATATCTCCAATCTAACCCAATCGAAAGCACATGCCTTATCGCATGGGGAGTACCTCCGCCGCCCCGTTGATGTGGGGATCGCTAGAGCAAATCTCTTTGTATAGAAGGGAAGGAGATGGTTGGGTTTGTAGAGTCAGGGTTTGGGTTCAAGGTTAGGGATCGATGAAGGGGGGAGGAGATACTGACATCGTAAGAGAGGAGCGAGTGGAGGGAAGGGATGTAGGCGGCGGCGGTAAAGGAGCGGCAACGAGGGAAGGGCGCAACGAGTGATGGCCTAGAGTGGGCAGCAAGGAGGTGAAGAAGAGGGGAAGGAAGAGGGAGCTCAGTAGTATGATGGCTTTTGAGGGAGGAGCGAAGGTGAGGTTGTGGAGGAGGTGGAGGGAGGTGGTGATGACAGCGGGGGTAGAGTGTATGGGTAAGGTGGGAGTAGTTAGGGCTCACACGAGCTACACGTGCATAGCCTAAGGGTAAAATAGATAGATCGGATGTCACCTGAGTAGAAGATTTAAATTTGTGTGACATTATGTAAATGTAAGTTAAGGTAGTTTTTGACTACAATAAAAGAAGAAGAATAAGAAATAAATATGGTAAGTATCAATTTGGACAAAGTTTTAAATGTTTGTTATGTAAAAAACCTATTGTTAATAGACTATTGCTAGAAGGACCCGAAAATGGGACAAATGCAAGGGACATGTGATATCCTATAGTACACATGTCGGGTCGGGTGAATCATCAGTTAGCTAGTAATATTTAATAAATAGTTTCTGTTGGATTTTTTGGTCAAAACCGCTTTTCAAAATGAGTTTTATATATATATATATATATATTAACTACAAGTACTTTTCATAAAAGCTCAGTAGCCTTGTGGAAAGTTAAAGTTTTGGTGTTTCAAAAGGTCCTCTGTTCGAGGCTTGCCAACGTCAAGCCGAGAAGTATTTTATTTTAATTAATCTCTCATAAGTTCTAGTGGGTCGTGGGTCATGAGTCGTGGGCTCGTGGGTCGTGGGTCGTGGGTCATGGACCGTAGGCTCGTGGGCTCGTGGGCCGTGGG